TTTGTAGACTGGACGTGTTGTTCAGTTGAGTAGACTGTGCATATGGGAGTGGATCCTAGATGATATGCTCAGTCGAGAGGGCCTTATACTTGGATGCTATCTGAGTGTGGGGATTTGTAGTCTGGAAACCTGGTCGATAGACAAGGGTGTTTGTTGAAGGCAAGGGAACTCTAAGATGAGATAGGATACCTATATATGACAGTGGTTTAAGTGATGGGTGATAGACCATGCACTTGCCTTGGATAGTGAGAAGGCATTTCGTCATACAATGTATGGGAGACATTGTTGATCGTGTTCTCGAGGACTATGAAGACCAAGGAGTCATGAGTAGTGATCCCGTACTTAGTGTACTGGTTTAGTAGGGAAGCCTTGTGTTAAGGCACCGTTAAGAAAGGGGTAGTCCCCAACTTGTGGAGTGCTATGGGGGACTTGGATATAGATTGTGTGCCGAGTGAGGAGCTTTGCGGAGCGTACTCCGGTAGACATATTCCACTGCGAGATATTGAGTGCTGTCCGTGCTAAAGACAGGTTAGGTTAGCTCAGATGGTTGGACATGCTGAGCGCAGCACGGGGAGATATCCCGAAAGTGTTGGATCTGGTTCCACCATCATTGAAAAAGGCAGGCGTTTAAAAAAAAAATACCAGGAGACCACTACCAAAAAAAAAGGTAAAAGCACAGCCGGGCGGAAGGATGAAGCGAGCCTATTCCAAACAATAGAGCTCAACATTTCAAAATTTTAGTCTGTACTTCATTGACAGTAGAATGCTCCATTTTCTTATTTATAAGTATATATATAATACAACCGAACAAATCCAGAAGAATAATACACATCCAAGGATTCCTCTCCTTTCGCGTCGAGACTATGTTATAACCTTTCCTTCACTGCGCTTCGAAAAGTTTGTTCCGTCAAAATGGGGTTTTATCAAACGTTTCTGCCCATCGATGAGGAATCATACGCAGCAGGTCCAAACTCCCCCCCTCACTAGTGCTTACTTTTGATCCAATGCATTCTCATTTTGTCCATTTTTCATGAAATTGATTAGTGCAATTTGACTCGCTGCCTATTTTACGGGGGACTCTTCGCCTTACTAGCTGAGACCAAGGACGCGCCATACTTAACGTCCTATTCTCGGATCAGCTCCTAACGTACAGTTCGCCCAGTCCTTCGTCCCTCTCCTCTCCCCAACTTTAGAAGCAAAGCGAAGTTCAGTCATAGAAGAGAGGTTGGATGTAATTGAGCTTGAGTTTGCCTTCCTTTTAGACCTACCACTGGAATGGAAGAAGGAAGCTCGTTCGTGTCATACGAGCTGCACTTGCTTGGAAAGCGTAGAGAGTAAAGCTGAATGAGATGTGCTAGACCGGGGCTTCCCTCGGCCACTAAGCGATAGACTTGTGTTGAAGGATGTCGGGCGGACATTCGTAGTATGGGGAAGAAGTGGCTTTTTTCTTTCCATAGTAAATACATCGGCAACTACAGGTTCGATGTAATTGACCAAGGAAGGAGTTTGAAATTTACGATGAACACTGAACCTAACAGCCGAGGAGAGGATAGATGTAATTTAGAAGAGTAGACAATCCTGTCACCGCTCCGTGGGCTTCTTTCTATGATTACACTACTCACAAATCTATCTATGTAATTTCTTACTTAACTTTACCTGTCTCCGATTGCCATGCTGCGCCTTTCGCTCCTTATCCCGTACAGAACCGAAGTCAATCTTATTTAAAGATTCAGTCACACCTGTATAGGTATATCACTCTAGTTAAATAAAGAAATACACCCCTACAATTCGTGCCTCGGTCTATTACTTAATTGACATTGAAGAAGAACAAATTTCTATGACTTCACTTCGCTTCATTCGTTGGGTCGATTACATTGAGAGAATCTTAAGGGCTTTGCTCTAACCAACTAAGCTACCTTAACCAACTTCTTTCCTACCCCATTTCGTTCTTCCTTTTGCTCTTGTATCGTATGAGAAGAAAACTACAAAGATCGCTACACGACTTCAACAGAAAGGATTGGATATTCAGCCTGTCCCGAGTATTCGTTTTATATAGGACGAGTTTGAGCCAGCCCTTCGTAGATCCTGGCCAAGGCCATGTAAAAAGGCCATTTCCTTTTGGTCTCTCACTAATACATCGCCCCCCTCTTCGTCAAGTTCTTCTCTCATCTCATTGAGAAAGTCTATAAAACATTCGTGGGGGTTGTAGGCTGCATTTTCTGCCAAGGTAGGATTTTGGGCAAGCATTTCTTCAAAAATGCCATAAGTGTCCTGTTTCCGCTCCCGGATCTGATGATCTCTATTTGCGAACTCTACAAATCTATTATAGTCTTTCTGCGAGGAACAATTGTCGAGAGCCTCCTTGATCTCCGACCAATAGACCCTTTTTTCTTTATCAAGGAGAAATGGGCTATTAGCATTTTCCATGGCCCGTATTTGATTGATCATCGAAGATTCCAAACCAACATTGTGGTTCACGGGCCAAGGCTCTAATAGAACTCCGACCTCGAATGAATCCTCCGTGCTCTCCGACTGGCCTCCCCAGTCCTCTCTTTGGGCGAATAAAGGCCCCTGGCCACTTTCTTCCGTGGTTGGTGCTACAGAAAATGATATTGTCCCGGTTCTCACAATATTTCGTAGATTCGTATTGGCCGGTACAACCAATCTAGTGTCTACTTCTATTGGAGGTAATTGGTTGAATACTTCTACTTCGACGGATGCATTCTCGGGTAGCGTTTCTTGCGCCGCGTTTAAAAAAGGTTCTGCGGCCTGGATAAGTTCATTGAACATGAGGTGGCTTTTCAAGTATATATAGAATAAGCACTGTGAACTATCGCCTTCAAAAAGATAGCTGAACCTGCTTCTCCGCTTACCAGCTCAATTACCTCTCTCCGAATTTCTATGACTTCACTTCGCTTCGCTTCATTCGTTGGATCGCTTTGCTCTCCTCAGCATTGACACCCTTCGAAGTCTTCGATCTTAAACTCTCATTTATATATTATACTTATAAAATGAGGTTAGAATAAAAAGAAGATAAGTCGTGTGGAAGGTCTTTGTGTGCCTACCAGATTCATGGCCTGTCAAGATCGTCTAGTGTGTCAACCTTATGACAGTTTTAGTCTTGATTTGTTTCCAGGAGCAGAGATGGAATGAAATAAGCAAGAAAAGTCCATAGCGTAAGGAGCATACCGGGAGGGAGACTTGATAGATAATAGATAGCGGAGAGATTGAGATAAAGCAAGAAAAGGAAAAGATAGGCTGTAACTGCCAGCGTTGAGTATTAAAAAATTGTTTATCAAAGACTAAATTACATCTATCCTGACTTCTGCAACTGAGATAGAGAAGGGAGTTCTTACATCGAGTTCGGAGTTGAGGTCAGGGACAGGACAGTAACTGCTACCTTTAATACTTGATAGAGGAAAGGCTGTTCAATCAAGCTATAGCATTTGGGACACAAGCTATCGATTCTACCTAAAAAGAGAAAACACACCTTTGACAGCTGAACTGAAGCCTGTAATATTAGACTTTCAAAACCCTTTCTTTATATTTAGATCCATCTATCTCGCTGCTTTCTTTCTCATATTCAGGCTTTGCACTAACGGGATGAATGGGAAAGCGCAATGGCTTCCTCGATATAACTCTTCATTTACAAAGAAGGATTAGAATATTATTATTCTAGAAGATGAGGTCAATTACATCGAGCCAATAGGATGACCCATTGACGCAGTTTTCCCCTCACTAAAAGCAACAGACAGACTTGCTTGACTGGCAGGACTGGCACTGGTACCGATCTTGCGACATTTATTGCTGGTACCGATTCTGCGCAAAACATATATTCTTGGCTAGGCAAGGGGGCTGCGCTAGGCCATTACGACGACTCTTGCGCCTTGCTGCGACGAATGCGCTCTTAGTAAGTGCCTCGAGAATAGGCTTTGAGGGGGAGGACGGAGGGAATATCTTATATAGGAGATCCTTCTTAGTCCACCCGTAGGACAGGGAAGAGAGGAGAGCAAAGTGAGTCTCGACCATACAAACGAAGCGAAGCGAAGTTCAGTCATCAAAAAGAGGAGAGGTTTTAAAGATCTCGACTGTGAAGGAGAGGAAAGGAGAATTTGCCATTCAATCTTGTGAACTAATCGAGACCTAAATGGGAATGACATAAAAAGTCTCTTTCAAAACCTAGCATTATTGAAAGACGGCTTTCAGAATAGGCTTTTTTGTACGAAGAGAAGGTTACACGTATATATAAGTAATTCATTGTGCTAAAGGAACCACTTTGAGGATCAATCCCTTACTGAATGAATTTTTGATCAGTGATCACAGAAGGAGAAGGCACTGTGAATGCTTTCTATGAGAACCTCTTTCCTTTCTGGCTACCAAACGTGCAGCAAGTGCTGCAGGGATAGGATAAAAAAAGTCTATATCATTTTGGTTCTCTCTTAGGGTAATCTGTGGGGGAGACTTGTATTGCACAAAAGTAATGGAATTTATAAGACGAGAAAAGAAAAAGAAGAAGAAAGCTCAGTGGCAGGTTCAGCACTATCCATCCTGCGTTATTCCCTATCATCTGATGGCACCAGTCCCTGGAAAGGCAAAGTTGAATCTTTCTTTTGAGATTTTGAACTTTCTCTTTCTATGACTTCACTTCGCTTCGTTCTTATGGACCCGAATCCATTAGTATTACACATTTTCTTTTCCAAGTTCAATCCCCTAGTATATGAAAAATTTCGTTGTTGTGGAATAAGAAGCCTTCGTATCTTAATGTAGAAAAGAAAGGCATAAGTAGCTAATCTGAGTCATTGCGTCCTCTACGGAAAGGCCAGCCATCGGATCTCTTTCTCTTCCTAAGGTCTCATCTATTCTTCTTAAGAAAAATCCGATAAGGAAGGAAGAGGCAGGAAGACACATCAAGTTTGTAGACAAGAATTAAGCTCAATCCCTTTGAAGACATAGGTTGGCCTATATGTAGATCTTAGTGGACTGAGAGAGCGAGCTCGAAAGGAAGGGGCTTTTTCCGTCTTTCCGGGGCAAGCGTCTGATCAAATCAATAAAGAGAATCTGGCTCTAAAAAATGGAAGGGATTCCCGAAATCTCAGATCCTTAGAAAAAGGAATTCGGACTTGGTTAGTTCGAAAAGTCAAAGGGTTTGCCAAGAATTAGGTCTTCCGGAATCGCTCTAGTTCAGTTCGTGAAACGTAATGTGGTTGAGCTAGATGAAGTCTCATTGCAGGAGGAGATTTTATTGATACAGAAAGAACAAAGGAAAGACGGGAAGGAATAAGACTACATAAGAGAATACTCTCTTTTGACTTTATTGACTGGTGTCCCGCGGAACGAAGGGGAGAAAGAGCCAATGATTTCGACGAGGCCCTTCCCTAAAAGAAGGGTCAAATGGATCAAGAAGGAGGCGAGAGGGAGTGGTTGGCAAACCAAATTGACCGATCCGGCATCTCTTTCGTTCAATAATGCCTTTGCTTTCAAGACGCTATTTACCAATAAGAATAGGAAAAAGACACTACCTTTTTGTTTTGAATTGAAGAAGCCGAAGGGGTGCACGAGCGCTGCGGTAACGAGCCGTAAGAAAGATGAGCAGAGCTTTCCTTCCGCCGGCCTTTATAGTAGTAGGGGAGCGTGGTGAAATAGATAGACGTCCAATCCTGAAGCAGCTAGTTCCTCGGCCTTAGTCTTGGGCTGATCTCACACTTCAATCAACCCCTTCGTACTTCGATCCAATCAATCGATCGATCAAGAGGCTAATCTCTTTTGTTTGGGCCGGTAACTAAAAGAAAGTCCTCGCTTTCTCTTGAACAAGGAACGGGCAGCATAGCATTAGCTTCAATTGAACAAGCTCAACCTTGATGAAAAAGAAAAGAAAGGGGGTTCGGCGTACTAAAGAAAACACTCTTTTCAACAACAAAAAACACCGACAACAAAACAAAAAAATAAAACATATTGAAAAGAAAAATGGAGTATCTATCTAAGGAGTTAGGAGAACTAAAAAGAAAGAATAACTAGCAAAATAAATGACAAACAAGAAAAAAGAAAGCGTTCGTGCCCCGCAAGAGGCACTCACTCGACGATGAGTTACCGAGAATATCCTAACTCGGAACAAAAAAACAAGGAAATAGTTGTGTCCCAGGAAGAATAAAAAAAGCTACTGTCCAGATAACCATAAATATCCACGCAGCAGAATTCACTCTTTTTTTCCGGCCGGAAAGGAAAATCAAAAAGTCAAAAACAAATATCTTTAGTGAATAAGTTGACATCCATGGCATTAGCGGGACGGGGGACTAGTATGACCGGACGAGCTGACAAGAAAGAGTTGGAATGAGATGCAGAGACCAGGTAAGGAGGCGGGATCACGTGAAAGTCAAGAAAAAGAACCAGGAAAATCTTTTGATTTTGAAAAACAGAGAGAGAGAGGGGGAGTGATCTATAGTGGAGGGATACCAGTAGCTTTCACCATGAACAATATCAAAATGACTTGGGGCGGGAGAGGGCAAAAGTGAAAGCGAAATTTATGAGGTCCCCCGGAAGAGTAGAAGAGCTGGTCGGAACGAGATCCCACCCCACCCATGCTGATCGCGAACTCTCGATAGGTGGGAAGGGGCTGATCGAAGATCATCAGTGGTCTACGAGAGGGGTAGTACTCTAGGGTAGTTTTCCATAAGGTTTCTTAGTTGAAACAAAAAAGTAGAGTTAGAACAATCTTTTGTTGATTCAATCAGCGTCCGACAACACGATTCTATCTTTCTCCAAAGAGGCTATCGTCCCGCCACGTTTCACTGTCCTGTCGTAAACAACTTTTGAGTTGCATCATTTTCATTTGTCGTTTTTTTCCAACTCAGAGAGGAGGGCTCTTTCTTTTCAAAGGGACCGAGCTTTTCTTTTTTCTTCATTTTATTTGGAAGATGGTGAGAAAAAAAGCAGAATGTGACTTGCTAATTGCGGAAAAGGCCCGTCTCCGGTTCAACTGCCCTTTGCCTGTTATACCCTCGCAGAGGTTCATGCCGTGTGTGGATCGAGCTCCGGTCTAGTTGACCTTTCCTGTGATCGAGACTGTGGTCTACGTGTGCGGTACGTTGGCTATCGTGGTTCGGTTAGGGTGGCTAGTGCTCTTTTTGAACATAACATAAAAAGTCAATTGCCGTCATGCGGTCGGTGCGGCGAGCATCAATCCACCTTGCGCGTGACTTGCTTGCCTTTCACCAGTAACTCCACGGAAGCGTTTGGTCCTCTGCGCCTGATTGCGTCCGCACTTTTAAAGAGAAGGTTTCGCCAACAAAGTAAAAGCGCTTGGCATTGGCTTGCGTATAGCTCCATCCTACTAACCGGGGATTTCAAACTCTTTAAAAAGATACCCATTCCTGGGAGGAACAAAGCGAAGCGAAGCGAAGTGGTAGAACGAAGCGAAGCGCAGTCAGCTCCTAAGTCCTGTGCGAAGAACTTCTTTTTCGCCAGGTTTCATTCGATTTGTTGTGGATTAGATGATGGAAAAACCTGGGGCTATCGTGTGCTCTCAGCGAGCCCCCTTCTCAAGAAGCTTCAAGTCGCTCAACCACCGACCGGGAGCCCTTGCCACAAGCAACCGGGCAAAGAAAGTTCCTGTCCCGGAAAAAGAAAAGAAGGTCACTCAAATGTCTATGACTGAACTTCGCGGGACAACTGGGAATTGCTTTCCCGATCGACCAGTGGCGATTCCTAGGAGCCTAGCAGCATATAGAGTCGTGAGACGCTCTACTTCCTCGATCAGGTCAAGTCCAGAAAGTTAGGAGCTTGAAAAAGTAGAACCTTTCTCCGTGGTCCATTGACCTGGCACTTTTGAAGCTTGTTTCCAGCAATCGAACTAGACTTCACCAGACTGCCCCCTTCTTTCTCCAAGACATGGGAGTTTTTGGCGTAAGATTCTATTTCTTCATATTTCGACTTAGATGAAGTTTCTTTACTACAGCTGCTAAAAAAAGTTGTTTTGGACGATGCATAATATGTAGAAAGCCCGTTTTCTTTCTAGTTTTCCATTCTGCCTGTTGGTCTACCTTCTCTCCTCCTGGATAAGGCAGGATAGACAGTAAGTAAAGTAGGTACCTGATGCGAAGCCTCGCTGCAATGTCCCATCGAGAAGTAAGGCACGAAGAGTTTCCATGATGTGGCGATGTTTTCGTTGAGCACGCCCTTTTGAATGGCCACAAATTCACATATGTAAGATGGCTTGAATGAAAGATGCCGAGCAGGCGACTTCCAAGACCAAATATAGATCCCGGGATCGGCGCGAGGGAAGATCGGTCTAAAGCCCTTCGCCCCCGCATCAGATCTATCTTCTCGGAGAAAGCCCAATACTAATATGGACTTGCTTCTACGTTCTTGACAGCCCATAGGTCAATGGAAGGTTCAGCAGGTTAGAAAGAATCCGTTCCATGGCGGTTTTCTTCCACTAGTGCCCGTTCCGTCAATTCTCAAATTTGGATCCAAATCTGATTGGGCCTAGAAAACTCATCCGCTTGTCAACAAAGAATCGAATTAGAATCATCAGACTTGTTGCTGACCTTATTCAGCTTTCCAGCAGCTCGGCAAGAATAAAGCATCTTTATGTCAATAAAACTGATCAAGAAGGATTGGTGGTTCGATGTAATTGACCTTCTCGCTCGATCTATAGTAAAGAAATGCCTACCCTCCCAATCCGATCGTACTTCTCTTATTCAAAAAGTAGTTTGTGGATCATATTCTTTCTAGGAATCCCAAAGATTAGAACTAGAACTCCGCGCGCCCGTCTTTGGCTGGAAAAGGTCAATCTTAAAAAACATTCCGCTCATTCGCTCGCTTGGCGGAAGAGAGGGATGAATTCCCCATTGGCTGGCTAGCTTGTTCCATTCCGTAGCCTTTTTTTTGGGGACCGGCTTCCCGGGTATCTAAACCGCTCGAGGCTCGACCATACAAACTTTTCGAAGCCTATTTCTTTGAATTCAAAATCAAAGGGTGCGGTGTAGCTTTCTTCTCTTATGATCGAAAGTCAATGTAATCGAACCTCTCATCTTAATATGCTTACCCCCAAACTTTTCTGATTCGCCCCAACATTCCCCACTTGTCCGACTGTTGCTGAGCAGTTTTTGGATATCAAACGGACCTCCCCAGAAGGTAATTTGAATGTGGCCGATTTCCCCTCTTTTGCAATCAGTTTCGCTACAGTACCCGCTGCTCTAACTAATTGTCCACCCTTTCCAAGTGTTCTTTCTATGTTATGTATGGCCGTGCCTAAGGGCATATCGGTTGAAGTAGATTCCTCTTTTTGAGAAAGAAAAACCCCTTCCCAAACTGTACAAGCTTCTTCCAAAGCATACGGCTTTCTGGATGTAGATGATGATATCTATACAGACGGATCTTATATATATCGTACAATGAAGTACCACACGGGTGGATATCCATATGAATCCAAATCTGCCGAATCACTCATGGTATGATCTTCTACATCCTAGGTCTTCCCGTTCCGTCATCTGGCTTATGTTCTTCATGTAGCATTCAGACCGAATGACTCTATGAAAGTCGATACTTCCACATATTATGGGTAACGTAGGAGACATCTCTATTTTTCCCCCATTCCCACTGCTTCTCAATTACACCTTCCCTCTCCAGGGACTGAACTTCGCTTTGCCAATACTTTATCCTTCACTTCGCTCGGTGTAGCTAAACAACTGAACTCTTGCTTTGAAAACTCGCTCTGTCCCTTTTAGCTCGTCTCATTTCGTTGTAACACCAGGCCTTCGCGGCCGTGAGCGTCCCTCAAAAAAACTCGTTCCTTCCCTTCGTCTCATTTCGCCTCGGTCTCTTGTCTTGTCTTCGCGTAGCTTCCTTCTCTTCGGTTCGGTCTGTTAGCTTCGCTTTGTTTGTACCTCGCACTTGAATAGTTTCCGACTACCTTTCTCAATTACATCGACCCTTGACCTGTGAGTGTGCCTCGGTAAAGGAACTAATACCACGATCTCCTCTAGGGCCTAATTGAAGTAAATAAGTCCTTCTATCCCGCATTGCTAGTCTTACTCTTTTACCTTCTTATCTGATTTCACTAGTCTCAGGGACATCTCTTTAAATCCTTCTTACCTTTTTAATGAACTCCTAATGCCGCATTGGTATGTCTTCTTTAGTTTTGCCCGCAAGGGTGTAAGAAGAAGTAAGGCAAGCTTTAGATTGGCTTTCCCGGGATTTCGGTTTAAAGTTTAAAGGGGGCTTACTGGACTTCCTGCTTGACTTCTTTACCGTATTGCTAGCACAGGAAAGAGAGAGAAGGAGTGTAATCCATTTCAAACCGGATTCCTAACCCCCTTCCGCAACTGGCTGGAGGAACTGATCTTTTCTTCGTCACAAGTGTGCTTGGAATCTCAGTTTTTTGATAAGGAAATGGCTCTTAGCCGACTTCTTTCACATCCACCGCACCGCTTGTTGCATATGTAGAAAAAGCACTTCGCTTCTAAAGTTGAGGTCAATTACATCGACCCTTTGCTAGGCCTAGGCACTTCTACATTAGCGCACTCTCTCTTGCATTTCTGATTCATTTGTATGGGCGGTCTTTCTTGTGAGGAGCTACATCTTTCCTTTCATGAAGGAGTGAGGGGGGTTCATGGATATGGACCACGAACGGAGATAGACGGATTGACACTGATTCTTACTGATAATAATCAGCCAACACAGGATTACCTACTTGGAAATCCCTCTCAAAGCCTTCGACGTACCACAGCCTCTTCTCAAGCAGCTTATTCTACTGCTTCAGTACGTGTAGCTATATGGTTCTTGGGGTTGTTCCTTTCGAATAAACGCCTCCTAAGAGAAAGACCTCTTATGGCTCTTCCTTGGTCCGGAGCTCTTTTTCGTTTCGTGGTTCGGCAAGCCGTGGTTACCGTTACCCAACAAACGAAGCAAAGCGAAGTGAAGTCATAGAAGTTATCGGGATTGGCTAATGCCGATTTCCTTCTTACAATTCGTACCATGCCCTATTCTCTTTCCTTGCTTCGAGTTCGATTGCCAAAAGCCTTTTTGTTACTTTCTTTCGCTTTCAGGATCAGAGTTTTCCAGTTCTTCAGGAATAGCCGGGAAATTCAGTTTCTTATTCGGCATGTGTTGACTTGGATACCCGATAATCGCACTAGGAATAGAAGAGGAGTGTTGTTATGCATAAAATAAAGACTCCCAGTATAAATGGAACAGAAGAAACAAAGAAGGAAAGCAAAGCAGAGAAAAAGAAGGGGAAGCTAAGGCCATAAAGAAAAGGCCAAAACTTGCGAGAAAAACGAGGCAAGGCTTGGCTTATTCGATAGCATTTGTGGCATCTATAAGGGAGGAGTCGGTGTAAAAGAAAAAGAAAGAGAGAAAAGGAACCTGTTGGAGAGGAAAGATTACATTTTTCATAGAATTCTTAGCTTCTCTTTGTTGGACCACTTTTATGAATCTGAAATCTAAAACATAACTAGCTCATTTCTTTCCTTAGTATTTTCAGTCTTGTTTTCTATTTTAGAATCAGATCATCTCTAATTGGCAACCTGGTCACCAAGTCATCTTTAGTGGCTACCCTTTACTTATTGTTGAGAGAATGCTCCTCTTCTGCATCTGATCGTTCCTGGGAAGAGAAAGAGTCAAAGAAATCGACAACCTAAATACTTGGTCGATAGAGATTGATTTTTCTTTATCGATTGGCTTGGTGTTCCGTGTACCGCACCGAAGCTTTAGCTACAACTGATACGAGCTACTGAAACTGAGGCGAGCTACTCTATTAAGATGTGAGAAATAAGATCCTTAAATTGGTGCGTTTTTAATACTTACTTTTCGAGAAGCTTCCGTACCCGATATACGAGTGTAGCTTGTATTGTATCTAGTTGTGAAAAAGCGCGGTCTCAAGAGAGGAATGCCCGGGTTGATGGGTATTCCGAACGATCCTAGCGAAGTGTAGCTACGTTCCTTAGTAGTTGTTAAAACCCTAGCTCGCGCAGTCTCGCGAAGGATCAGTGCAGTGAAGGGATGCCTGACATAGGTAGCCCGAACGATAAGGGAACGGACTTTTCGAGCCGTGACCGTATCAGTAGCTTCGCAGCAGGAAACGAAACCGAGCCCTTGGATCTGGCATTTCCTGATCTTGTTTGGCTAGAATCTCCCAGTTTGGGAATAATACCATAATAGAAGAAAGAAGAAGAGGAGCTCACTCGTACCTCGGGGAGTCGAAGTACCAGAGTCAAGGGATTCGTAGTCCAGGTCAAAAGGGCAAGTGAAGAGGTCAGGCTGGATTTAGGAGTTGGGTTGGTAACGGGATGTGAGTCAGTCCTCTCTCTTGGTCTCTCAATTACATCGACCCTCGGGTGGTCGCATAATATCTTTTGAATAAAGGAACTGGTTTCGGAGCGGAGTAGTAGAAGGCAAGGCTGCCAGTCGTGTAAGTAGTTGTTGTTCTGTCAGTAGTTCTGTCTGTCCTCTCTGGTAATTAGGAACTCACTCATAAAGGGAGTCGCTATGGGGGATTCGGAGTACTGGAAGTCGAGAGAAGATGGGGTAGCAGTCCTCGTAGACAACAAGAGTCTTACCCAGCTAAGCCAGAAAACAATGGTCAAAATAAATTGAATTGTACAGATAAGGCACTTGGAATCTTCCTGAAGATGAAGAACATCATAAGCAACGGGTCTTGAATGAAGTGCGCTTTCTCAATCCAGCTCGATTTCCTGCTCAGATAGTTTCCCCAAAGGATCGATCTGAGATTCCACTGGTCTGACTGAATTGAAAGGGTTGCAGAATAGATACCAGAATGAGTTAGGAGTACGAGGGCCAATAAAAATAGCATCTTTTACACGTAAGGCCTTCGTCAAATGATTTCGCTTTCAGTCGAGAAAGAGATTGCAATTCGTATTCCATTGGGAACTCGAGTTTCTGTGTAGAAGGAAATTCCTCTAGTGACTCCAGAAATTGCATATAATAGAGTTTCTTTTTCATATATATGGAGGTGGAATCAATACCCAATTGGGGTCGGAGGAAGCAGACGGGCGGGAAACCCCTTAAAGGAAAGGGGAGTACAGAAGATGGTACGAAAACGAATCCTCTATTTGAGTTTTGAGTTTAGGACTGCTGCCATTCGGATCGATCAGGTTTTACAGTAAGTAAGAGCGAAGAGTTGGACGAGAAAGTCCAGTACCAGTGCCTGTGCCATAATAGAAAGGCCAACCAACCAAAATATCTTGAACTAAGGAATTTCACCTTCTATCCATGCCATCTCTATGGAGAGCATCGCCCAAATCACTTTCAGATTCGAGCTCATCTTCCAGAAAAAAAAAGGCTTGCGCCCGTAAGTCAGTGTAAGGCGAGAATTGGAGAATAGGAAAGACTTGGTTTAGAATCTGTGCCTTCGTTCCGGCTATAGTCCATTAGCAAGCGAGTAGGGGATCGATTCCTTCCGTTCAGTAAGGGAATACAAGCATTACGGGGTGTTTTCATTTCTATATATGAATCTGACTCTTCCCAACTCAAGTCAAGCGAAGCATAGTGAGGAAGGAGGAGAAGAACTGCTAGAGAAAGGCTAAAGCTAAAGCAGCAGGAGATGGATGGAGCGATCAACCACTAGAAGGTTATTCTCGGCTAGGGAGAAAGGAATAAGAATCCGATCCATTTAGAAAGTTCGGGTAGCTATGATGGAAATCAATCGATTGGTTCGCCATGGCCGGAAAAAGATCAAATCCTTCCCCAGGGCAGGATGAGGATTCCTTTCTTACCATTATTCCATGCTAGGCTCTTCAAGACCTCTCCTTCGACTGGTGGGGACGGATGCTCCAGTCTTCAATCTTCATTAGGTAGCGCCGGCAGACGTGGGTGGGAATTCCTCTCATAGCGAGTAGTCTGTTTAGAAGAACTCTTACGAAGGATCAGTCTATCTTCCCTGTCATGATTGCAGCATAGTTTCTGTGACTATATACGAGATTTTCTCTGAATTCTCAATAAAGTAATATTTGATATGAGCTCTCGTACCTCCCGGTGCTGGAGAAACTCTTCCCGGGATTCACTGATTTAGGAGTGAACGAAGCCAAGTGGCTCAGTAGCCTTTCCGGGTCCTGGTTCTAGGGCGCCCTCGTAAAGATCAGAGTCTCCTCCCCGGAGAAAGAGACTGATTTAGTGAAGTCTGGCATCTGTTCTTTTGAATGAATCCGGTGATAGTCCTTCCTTGGCTTCTACTTGAGATTGGTTTGGTCTTCTTGGTTGAATGTGAAGTTGTGATCAGCTTAGCAGTAAATAGCTCTTTTTTAGCGAAAGTCGGATTCTGCTTGGGTGGCCTTCTCTCTCTAAAGGGAGTTACGCCAAAGGTAGTTCGGTAAGCCTCGGGTCATAATCTAGTATGACCGAAGCATTAGCCCTGTCTCTATCCTAGGGCTAAGGGCCCATAGACTGGACTGAGTGCGGTGAGGTAGCTTAGGATGATGAAAGCGTACCTGATGACTTTCGTACGTTCTTCTGTTAGCACGCATCCAGTGACCGATGAATCTGTTGTTGGAATAAGCGTAAGCGCAGCAAGAGAATTCGCTGCTTTTGTGCCAACCTTCTCGCCAAGGAAAGAAGTCCAATAGCAGCTGATCTTAGCTTTGAGCACTTATTCCTTTTGTCCCCAGCTACCTCTGAGAGTGGTCACGAGCTTATTGGAATCAGAGCTTTTTCAAGCATTCCCATAGTAAGAAGGTCAACCGAAGCCAATCCATCTCTGTTAACGAATGCTCCTACTCCTAACGGTTCTATATCATCGTCCTATAGATGGGAGAATGATAAGATAGAGTGGATAGTGGGGCAGAATCCGCCTCGTATGTCAATGTCAGCTTTATTGCCTTTCCTTATCCGTCATATCAGGAGCTCAGCAACAACAACTCGGAACTACTGCTCTTGCTGAAACACTCTCCTTAGGACAGCTCTTTCCAGTGATCATGAGGCTCGTACCTCGGGATCGGAACTATCGGATATTAGCACCACTTTTCGATCAGCTCCAGAGGCGGACATCGAAAAACGGCATTTACATCATCAGGAGTAGCTGGCGAAGACAGGCAAGGAACTACGGCTTCTACTAAAAGCGGATCAGGCGATGGAAGTCTTGCCGCAGGCCTCCCATGTACTAGACCTTCTGTCCCGCCATAATAAATAAAGCGTGTACTTTCCGCGGCTCTACATCCCTTCTGGGAAGGAAGCTCAATTCTCGATCGTCATGTTTGATCGGATTTCAAACCCGATAATAGGTTGAACTAAACCCAGACCGGAGTTGGACTAAGAAAGTGATGACTTGCGCATCCAAGTGTTTCACCCCCGTCGAAACAGAAAACGTATCTACATCAGGCAACATCAGCCATAAAGCTCTAACATGCCCCCGGAAAGGGTAGGTGGGTGGGGAAGGCTAAGCAATCATCTCGTAGGGAATTTTCTAACAATCACCCTAGAGCGTTAGGGGGGGTTCTCGTTCGAAATGTGTATATCCAATCGGTCAATCCAACATTTTTTTCTCTTTACCTTCGATCCACTCTGTGGATCCCCCTTCATCTTCAGGCTTCGGAGCTGCTATCTATGCAATGAAGTCAAACGAAGCAGCGAACCAATGCACTTTACCCTTCATTTTGAGTGCAACAATTCCTTTACCGGCCGATACCCCTATCCAGGGGCATTCTTTAGCTACCATTCATAAAAGGTTATTCGATAGCTGCTGATTCGAGAACAAGGATTCATTGTGCAGCTGAGTCAATAGGAGCCGTGCCGGTTGGGGGAAGCGACTATGGTATTTGTAATGCCCGAACCTGGGCAAAGGCCCTTTCTTTTTCTACGCAAAGCGAAATACAAGTGTCAACTTGTTCCGAAGGGCTCTGAAGTCAAGATGAATATGCACGAGCTAGCACTCGGATTAGGAAAACTGGAAACCTAAACCTTCTGTCCGGTCATAACCCGTTAACTTTGGGATGGGTAAGAGCTCCCCGAAGCGCTACCTGCAGGGGCGCTAGTCAACAGCTAACTGACCAAACATACCCACCACTAACGCAATTGTTGTTTCGGAGTTAGCATTCATAGCAGATTCCCCCTCACAATTGATGAAATTCCTCAAGGACATCTTAAAAAAGATATTATATCTTTCTTTTTATCTTTGTACCGGTAGGGAGGTTATTATTATGATATATAATCAATCTCGGGTGCTCTTCGACTTACTGGATCTGGAAAGTGCTGGTTCGAGCCCAGCTCGTGCCCTAAGCAAGACATTCTGGTCATAGAGTGAATATCGATGAGCTCGTCTATATGCTTAACACTGGCAATTCATCCGCGCCTCCTCCTGTTGACAGTAGTAGTGCAGACCCTGCTGTGACATGCCTTGATGCGAGGCTGGTCGATTGAGGACGAATTGGTGGGGAATGGTTTATAACGAGCCAATCCTCGACTCCTTCGTCCGGAGTCAACTGGCAATCGAAAGGCACATAGAGGCCGCACTTGTGGCGGACTCAATTACATCGACCCTCAAGTTTTCTTTGAAAAAAGACATCAGATAAGGGGCTTTCTTTTCTACCCTACTGGACGAGTAAGGTTGAATTGGACGGTCTAGAGGAGGAGAAGTTAGAAGTTCCGATCCCGGTTTAGCCGGACTCGTATCTGTCTCTTCCTTATCTGTCTGATGAGAGAGGACTTTAGAGAATCAGCCCGTTTAGGCCTCCTCATCGATCGCAAGATTTCCCGTGTCGAGGGTATGGTTGGCATTCTTTCCAAAGTGAGTTGTAACCATGACATTTTTTCTGACTATATTTTCTTACTTGAGTATGCACGCTAGCCCGTACACTTGAAAGCAGGAAGACCGTTAGCAGGCCTGTTAAGGCGGGGGGGAAGGTGTCACATTAGAGGATCAGAGGTGCACAGCACCAGTAGCGGGCAGATCGCGTAAAGGCGTGTGAATGAGGTAGACCGTAACTCCTAATCCACCTCCACCCAGAGTGCTTTATCTTCTCCTCGCTTTGCGCCTATGAATGAGAGAGGGCCTTCTTTGTCTATTAGTTTTGACTAAGTCTCTTCTTCTCTTCTTGAGTGATCTTCCTATGAACATTTATGAAATGCTTCTATTGCGCGATCATGACAGCAGCAGCAGTCAATTACATCGAACCTAAGTCCAACTCTTTTTATTTTATTAGGGCCGAAGCATATTTGAAGATTTTCATTGGCGACTCCGGAGGGGGTGTATAGCTCAGTTGCATCAACACTTGTAGAATCCCGCCGGCAGAGTCTATTTGTTCAAGTCTATTTTATCATCCAAATGCTACGTACGATGCTACCAAAGAGGGAAATAAGTTTTCCTATTATTCATGAAGACTTGATAGAAAGAATGACGAATTGTAGCATGATTCGCCTACCTGGACTGATACGAATAAGGGTAGCTGATTCGTCAACAGACAAGAACACGGAAAGAAGGGATGCGAGGCCTTTCTTTATTATGCAAGATGTTAAACTTAATGCCCATTTGTTAAAATCAAGTTTGTAGAGTACTAAATTTATCTAGATTATTCTAGAATAATGTGACTAGTCAAAGGCGGCAATAGACAAATATTTACAGGGGAAAAGACTTCGAAGATGAACGAATGATAGAAAGGAATGGTCGAACCGGTGTATTCCAGATCTATTTCTGGGCTAGCAGGTGTGTTCTAAATAATAGAAGGAAAAGAAAACCCAACGAACGAAGCGAAGCGCAGTGAAGTCATAAGTATTGGCGAAGCGAAGTTCAGTCATAGAAGCTAAGATCAGAATTAGGTGGAACACCAATTCCATGGGCTGAGTGTCGTAGGCCAAAATGGATTTCACTCTTTCTCTCCTCTAACATGAGAAAGACTGAGGTTCGATTCAATTGACTCTAAAAAACTTTTCGAAGCGAAGTGTAGTCATAGAAGAGAGTACGAGGGTTAAAAGAGCTCGACTGAAAGGAGAGGGAAGGCGCCAAATCCATTTATCTGGAGCCCTCGAGAGGAAGAGGGTAACCAATGATCTGTACAGCAATCTCCCAAGGTTATTGCTTATTTATTAAAGCCATCAAATCTGGCCTTCTACTACTCTACTGATTGGCTTCCTTGCCTGGTTGCCTTACTAGCTATCCTGATTCGACCTCTTATTCAAATAACACGGTAAGTACGGCTGTGTTGAAAGTGAAAAGCCGTTGGTCGCTTCTAAGATCGGTAGGGGAGCGTTCCGTGGGAGCATGGGGGGACAATATTCCACTTTTACAGGAGAGGCCGACTCAGACCCTGTCTGCCAAAGGAAGAAAATCTCTCCCCCTTTTTATTTTAATAGGCTTTTCACTCTTTACAGTGATAGGATAATCTCGCTATGCATCGGCCCTCTGGGAAAGAAGAAAAAGAATCTATTGCTTCCCATGTACACGAAAGGCTGATTGAGGAAACGAAATAGATGAAACTAAAATCCGAGGAAACGAAGCGCATGTAAAGCTCTTGGTTCAGTGCCGGCAGATTGCCTAGGGAAAAAGATCCACGAAAGATTCGAAAAAGCGCTACCTTTCTTTCCTCATATGACTTCACTTCGCTTCGCTTCGTTCGTTCCCTCTCCTCTCGCTTTGCTCGAGCATATCTCATCTCCTCTCCCATAGGTCTCAATTGCATCTTCCCTCTCCTTTCAGTCGAGCATATATTAGAACCTCGGATTTGAGTCAATCCTTGGCTCCCTCTGTACCATCATGCTTTGCTGCATGGTTTTGGATGTTTATAAAGGATTTAGGGGCTGATGTGGGGGGCGAAGGCGATGAAAAACCTCAACACTTTCGGTTTTTTGTTCAATAGCAGCTCCGCTTTCTGACCCATAGAAAGAGATCTTTAACGATAATCCAGCCTAAAGGCATCGTACATAAACCCCAGCCTCTTCTCCAACAATGTTCAATTCGCCTATAGTAATACCTTCTGAGCCTGCTATACGAAGGTTACCCAGTAAAGCAGCTCCATTCTTCGTCAGAGTGGTTTATCTCTTTGCTTTCGACTGTTCGCCTTACTGCCCAGCTCCTTGGCTTCCTTCTCCGCCCTGCTTCTTTACATACTTCACATACTTCCTTCGTCGCTTTTACCCTCGTTGCCTTGCCTTGCTTCCTGCGCTTCTATTCGCCTAAAGGGCATCTTTTCACTGGTGCCATGGTCTTATCGTTTGTTGCAGATGAATGCAAAATTGACGTTGAGAGTCAGTTTCTGGGTTTCACCTTGGGACTGATTAGCCTCCCTTAGCTGTTCGCCTACTACTACTTTTTCCATCTCTGGGGGCGAAAGACTATCCTTAGTTGTTAGCCGCTAAGCGGATAGAAAGTCATCCCCTAATATTCTCGGCTGTAAGGGTGCGTCAGTAGCTGGTGTTCATTCAATCATGGTGTGTTATTGCTGATGGCATTCAAGTAGGTTTCGTCTCCAGAGAGATGGGCTGAAGACTTAGTTATATTGAAATCATTGGCTTTCGGAGATAAGTTATGATTTTCATTACGTTGAGTAGCATTTATTCTCTATTTATCATGAAATGATAAAAGGAACTATTGAAAGCAAGGCAAAAGGCGATGCCTTCCTCTCCCAACTTCTATGACGTCACTTCGCTTCGTTCGTTGGCTCGATATAATTGACCAGCCTTATAGGAAGACAGCATTGTAGGACTCAGTCCCTTGTTCTAGTGATAGAGATAGATATTGTAAGGTTCTAGCATAAGTCAGTCTCCCGCTCTCAAGTAAGGCCTTTAGGTTCTTTCTTTCACGAGAGCTGTATTAGTATATAGTTTTTGGGCTAGCTCCCGCATCCAAGGAATTGGACAATTGGGCATACGAGTTCCCGAACCACTAAAGGATCCGCTATTGCCTCGGATCAACTCCAGCAAAAGCTTGTACCACAAAGAGGTTATATCTCACTAGGCTCAGGTCAATTATATCGAACCTTATTCGAATGATCGGATCAGAAGCGGGCTCAATTAGCTACGTATTCTGATCAAAGGACTCAACATCTGGCTCGGAGCACAACTGGCTCTTGGGAAAGATTAGCTCCAGAACTCCCCGATCGATCGGACTAAAGGGAAGGGCTGGTATTTCCTGACATCTGATGAGAAGGTTCTTGGAAAAACTCCCTGAAAGGGTGCCTCTTTCTTACTGACATGAAGCTTGGACCACACGGGGTCATATTTCAAGAGGTATGATGATCAGATCAGGGACTCAGAAATCGGAACACAAAAGCGTCATATATGAGGAGACATCTGAGAGATGTTTACTTGGATTTGGTAAAAAGCTGGGCTTAGAGCTCTGAGCTCGAGGGAAAGATTCCTGAACTCGGGAAAGTAAGGACCGGGGCTTCCCACACAGCTGATGACAAGGACTCTTTCCTATTGTTTCCTGTACCAAAAACGGATTACCCAAGCCCTGGCTTTACTCCTAATAAAAGCCGGTATTAATCTTTCGAGAGGCGAAAAGGAACTTCACCAGCCTTTCAGGAGGCCATCTACGGAATCGTCTTCTGCTCCTATCTACGCAATTCTCTGTCTTCGTTCGTGATCATGTTGGGCGAAAGGTGCCAAAAGGAAAGGCGAAGGGAGTGGATACCGGCCCTACGCTATCCGGAAAAAAAAGCACTACGCCCTTTAGCTTCAGTGGAAGACTCACTCGCTCAGTTGGTCTAGGTCTTACCTTTCTTGATCCCTTGGTGGGCTTGTCATCCAGGAACTTGTTCGGAAATACCATAATTCAATAAGAGTAGAACTTGAATCAGAATCTCTCCTTCATTCTCGGCTTCTGAAACTACTCTTTCAGAGCCTTATCTCGAGATTAGCAACTGGCGACGAAGTCCAAACCGATCCTCACAGCTTGGATGAGTTTGACAACCTCATACCGAAAACTCCATTTTCAGTTGACTAATTGGGAAAGAAATTTGCTTCTGCTGAAACTTCGTTTTTCCAAAGATTGAAAGCCTGATTTGATTCCCGAACCAAGGATGCGACATCCCATACCGGAGTTCACCTCTAAAAACAAAGAAGAAAGCGAGTCTCACTTTGCTCTCCTCACTACATAGACCTTAGCCACTTTCTGTGGGCCCACAAGCAAGCTCTTGCTGCTCTGCTCCTCTAGTCATTGAACCAGCGCACTCCAAGACAAGCTTCTCTTCTTTAATGAATGGGAGATACCGTCTGTGGGCTCGTTCGGACTGGCGACGGAGATTGGTTACTGCTTTTACTGATCCGGGAATTGTTGGCCGAAGTTTCTCACCCATTCGCTTCAATAGGCTCGATGTAATTGACCTATTATCGAATCAAATCCGAGGAAGTCGAAAGTGATGAAGGTGAACTGGTAACCTTTCTTCCCGGAGAGACTTCTCTTCTAGAACTTCGGAAAGATTTAGCATTTTGAAACTGGGACACGTTTAGCATCATCCTTGCTTGCTTCTGTCTTCGTTCGTGAGACAAGCGACTGATAGTGGGACCGGAAGAGGTCTGCCCCCCTTATCCCAAAGGGGATTTGGAGAGAGAATGGCCTAAAAGCCTTCTCTTGGCGAGATTCGAATTGAGTTCGTTATTTGGCCATCACTCAATCTTTCTTTTTCTTATTTCGGGCATCTCTGGTGAGACTCAAAGAACGAAGCGAAGTCATAAAGGCTCGATGTAATTGACGCTATGAAGAATCCATGGGCCACTTCCACCACATCGAGACCGCTTTCGATAAAATGCTTTACCGATTGGAATGATTTACAAATGCCTCGGCCACATACTTCTGCATCCTATCTTCTTTGGAAATTCCATTTTTGTTCAGTTTCTTTCAATAAACTTGCTTGTCTTTTAAGACATTCTAGCAAAACAGCCTTAAACCTCTTTTATCTCGTCCTACCTATGAAACTAGGAATCTTTCTTATCTGCGTAGGGCCGGTAGTGAGACAAAGGGAAGACATCCCAAAGAAAAGGTTCACATGACGGAATCTTCCCCTGAGCTCTCTGGATCAGTAGGGATTGATGTTTGAATAGGTGCCGCCGAAGGTCATCGTCCGTCACCTTGCTAGGATGGTGGAAGTCTCAATCTCTCCGCTATCTATGGCCACCCGACTTTCCTCCGTGAAGCCCGTAGATGATCCCCTCAGCCCGACTACTCTCCGGCCCATCTCCTTTATGGTACAGCCACAGGTGGCAAGAGATGGTTTTGAAAGCCTTTTGCAGGACTAACTTCTCTGGGAAGCTCTCCCGGCATGGAGAACTTTTACCTAGACCGTGGAATGTAACAAATTTCTCTTCAACTAGAGAAAGAAATGCTTGAACAACCTATTCTCAAATATTTCTAGCAGCGTCTACCGCGGCTTAAACAATCATCGTAGGAAGGGAAAGCATGATATGATCCAACAAGCAAGGGATTGAGCAACTAGCGCGAAAGCCGTTGCGCTAACGCGCATCCGTTTTCTTGCTGGCCGGAAACTTGCGTTTTCTTATTATTATAAACGGAGTCTGATTCTGAGTGTCTTCTTTCGTTTCGACGTGCATGCTCAGGCAGCAAAGGTTCGAGCAGGATGGCGGTTAGTCTTCCTCGTCTCTTTCGGGTGGGCAGCGGGAATAGCTCTTCTAGCATCAGCATGGATTGACCAGAGACTGGGAGTAATCGTCATCTTTGTCCATAGTAGTCATCCAGCCAGCAAGGGAAAGACCACTTAGCGCAGTGGAATAGGAAATAGAGCGTCGAACACAGCTTTCGTGTCACCAGCAATCCTTTTTCCTTTATTGGGAGACTGAAAAAGCTTTGTCAAGCATGCATGATTGTCACGTCGATCGACAGTTGATAAATCCTTTCTTTGGGGCCCTCACTTTAGGGTTTCACCGTTGACAGACATGGTTCAACGTGACAAGTACGGTTCCTCAATCAATAGATGACTCAAGGTTGTTGTTTTCTATCTGGTATGGGAAAGGAGAACTCCACGGGTAGGCCTCTTTCATCCAAAGTAGCACTCGCCGGAAAAGTCTTCCAACTAACAACTGTTTTGATTGGAAAAGGGGGAAAACGGGACTCTTTTTTCACTCGTTCCAGCCAAAAAGAAAGTTCGGTCCTTCGGGTGACGTCTAACCGAGAAAGCTTCAGCCTTTGCATACGACACTCCTGCTAGCAAGCACATTGAGAAAATAAATGCACAGCGTCAAGCCGGTACAAAGGCCGTGGCCGGGAAAGGAGTGAAGGAAAGATTTGATCTTCTTGCCGGGAAAGAGTTTGCTTACCAAGTTCGCTTATGGTATTCAACATAGGCCAAAACTCACTCTTATTTAAAGGGCAGAGACTCAGGAACTGCTATCTAATAAAAGTCCGCCTAAGCTGACGATATTGAGTCTTTTGAAGCCGACACAGATGAGGGGATCCTTTTTTCTAAGGTTGGTCCGGGAAAGAAGATAATTCTCAAGCCGATGCTGCTATTTCCGAAAAAAGTCAATATGGCCGTGCTCGAAGAGTGATGAGTGCCTTGAAGGGCGTAATTCGAAACATGATCAGGCGAAGAAGTTTCGTACTCAATCGTGGAAGCGTGAAATGCACCTGATCAGGCAATAGGTATGCCTAATAACTGGAAGGTTAGCAGACATCGTATATCTGTCAGAGGACCACTCGTTACGCTAACCACTGCCCTCGAAGTGAAGTTCCCCATATTTAGGGAACGGTTGAACTCATTATGTCATGCCCTTCTGGTTCGATGTAATTGACCTTTTTCTTATTTTATTTAGTTACAGGGTTGGTCCCCCTTATTTAACTGAGTAAGGATTAGTACAAACAAGCAGCCTAAGGTTTGGTACTAGCTGTATTACTCAATAAGGGATAAGGCGATGTAGAGGCCTTAATGCGCAACGCCGGTTCATACCGTCATCTATGACAATACCAACGTTGTTACTGCAGGCAGAATATCGCATGCGGGAATATGGCTGACTAGATTCCGTCATACTGTTAGGATAACCAAAGAGGAAGACGTTTCTGGAACGCAGTAGGAATTTCTATATTTCCCCTAGGACTTCCTCTCCTTTCGCGTCGAGACTATGTTATAACCTTTCCTTCATTTCGCTTCGCTTCATTCGTTGGGTCGACAAAGTTGAGTCGACTGAGATCTCGATCTCTTCTTCCGCCTATTAGTGGTGTGACTTTCTTCTTGCTTTCCTTGGCTAGAAGGTAGTGAGTGCATTGATGCAGAGAAGTTGGAATATAGTCAGTGTGCCACGAGCTTGACTGATTGGTGCTTTTTTATACCCTGTCTTTTTTTCTTAATGAAATTCAGTAAAAGGCCTTCTTATGAATCTTGAAAGGAAGGCCATATCCTATGGTAAGTACTGAACCGAACTACCGAACAAAGGCGGTGAATGGTTTTTCACAACCCCCTCCTGGTCATTCGACCGATCAAGCTTACTAGAAATCTATATCTTGAAAGGGTGGGAAAGAACAATAGCGCTCATAGGGAAAAATTGCTTTCTATTCCATTTGATTGCCCTCTACTCTTTCCTTGCAAGCCGTGCGACTAGACAAGTTAAGCCTTTCTTTTGAAAGAATTAGCTATCTAGTTGAGGGTCAGCAGCGATATGGTTTTCTTCCCTCCCTCTTTGACCGTGGGGATAGCAGGTTCTCCGAATTCTATTGATCATCTTGATGTAGGGTTATCAGAGTTTATCAGCATAATAGAAAGAATAAGCTATTGGGTAGGCATTCCTAGCTGCAAGAACGTCCTTCCCTAAGAACCTGTCTTATCTTACCCCTCTCTTTCAAGGGCTCGGTATGGAGTCGCCGTTGCTTCACCGACATGCGCTTCTCAGTCCCATCGTTTCCGTGGTCAGGGTTATATGATTGTGACAAGCTACTTTCGTAACCCAACCAACGCGCGCCCCAGTAGTCTCGGTCTCCTTCCCATATTGCTTTAGGGAAGATTGACCAACCGATTTGCTAGATCAATGACCGCCTTCTGGTACTCATCGTACCCGGCTAATGCCTACCCTCTTTCTGTCCCTAGAGCATAGGATTTGAAAGAATACGAAGCATAACTTGACTACTTATTTCGATCGAGAAGAAAGAGTCGAGTTTACAGACTTCACTGCGCTTCGCTTCGCTTTTAAATATGGTCAGTCTGTCTTTCATAGACAAAGAATGAATCCTGCTGTCCCCCATTCGTGTTGGAAGTACAGTTAGAAAGACCTGTCCATACTCCCAGGCCGGTCTCCTCAAACCCCCTTAATGCTGTTGGATCCTCCCCATCGTGCTAGTAAAAGATATTCTAAAGCTTGGACTAATCATCCTTCTTCCGGAATGTCAGATCATGGTACACTCGGTCAACTAGATCAAAGGATCATGGGACTTCTAGACCAAACTTGATATCAAGAATAGGGGGACAGACCTAGATTTTGATTAGGGGTCAGCCCACTCGCTTACGATGGATGAGTGCGCCTGGGGTGGGGAATCTTGTCCATTCAAGGTTCCTCGGAACCAAAAGAGCTATGCATTCTTAACAAAACAGGAGAAGGAGCATTCATCAGTTCGGCTAAGCTCTGAACAAGAATCAGTATACGCAAGAAAGAGAGTGATAGGACACTTCCAATTCGATGTGTTACGAATATGGTTGAGTGGCAGTTGAATGAGTCAGCGATGCCTTTGAAAAAAATAAACCTTATCTCATTTCTTATTAGAGGGAACCCCGGGACACGGGGTAGAATCAAAGAGGAATTTACCAAACTCCCAACCTTTCCCCACACAATCCACTGATAGTAGCAGTCCGGGAATTTCCCAGAGATGGAAAATAACCACTGAAAAACGCATTTATTTGGTACATTCACCATAAAGCACAGAATTCAATGCGTTAGCGATCGCCTATTTGACCAAGGATCGACGAGTCAATCAAATATCGATTCTGAGCATGGGTGGGACCCCCGGGCTAAATAGGTACAACAGGATCTATATTGCTTTCTTGCCTCTCTCTCTTTCTGATTCTTTGCTCGTAGAGTTCTTCACCTAAAGCGCTTGATCAGACTGACGATCGTGAAATTGAAAGAAAGCATTCGACCGAAAGGGGTAGGGACAAGACCAACTAGACTAAGTAAGAATACCTGCACGGCTAAGACTTCAAGGAGGGTTGAGAAAGATTCGGAATTTCACTATTTCTGAACTTAACCTACCGGTAATGAATGCAGTAGAGACTTGAGGGTTAAGTAACCGAACTCGAAAGTGCTGCTATGAGCTATCTTTGTGCGTACAAGGCTAAAGAAGCGAGCAAGGCCGCTGGAAACCCTATACCTGAGTGCTATTTGATCAGAGTGAGTTGTAATTGAGCTTGATTTACTTGCTCTTCTATTTGCATTTTTTCTTAAGTATGTGGGTGACTCATCGTCGTGAGATCGGTTGGTCGAGGGCTCTTTCTTTTCAAGTAGTCTCAGTCGGCTCCACAGAAGAAGTCAGTAGTGAATCAAAGAACTCATGCATGTAATCAGTGACTAGGGATCGATCAATCGGATGCAACCGAGCCATACAAAAAGAATTGGAAAAGGGATGACGCAAGAGCAGCGGAAGGTGACTTAGAAACATCAGTCATTTCCGGAAGGAGAAGTAGATCTTCCTCATCGATCCCCTCTTCTGCCCTTACCTGATGAGTGAGGCCTTGTCGCAGGGACTATTCACCCAGGGGTTCCACCACTCACTCTGAAGCAACCACTGTGAGTGGCACCACTTGCTACTCTCCACCACCGAGTGCTTAGCTGGATCAGTGGGTGTTCTCGGGGTTAGCTTCGCTTTCCTTGACTTCTTCGTGAAAGCAGAAATGACATAATAGAGATGCCATCATCTCATGCAAACGAGTTGGTAGTCCCAGTGTTGGGCAGAGCCCATTGTCAAAGGATCGTTTCGCTGGAATGCTTGCTTGAATCTGGGTGACCCGAGTGGAAAGCCCATCATATCACACAGGATCGTGCGACAAAACCCTTTCTCGGCCCTAAGGAATTGAAGTAGAGCAATTGAGCATAAAGTGCTGTGAAAAACCAAGACACCTCCTCAATGAAGCAGGGAAGAAGGTGAGGATCGATATAATTGAGGAGCAGAGGTCAATGTAATCGAGCCTGTCGGCTTTACGAGGCCTTCCGCTAGCCAGAGGTGTTTGTCGGGGTCACTATTTCTACATCAGCAGGTCTTTCTCATCGAGCTGGGTCGACCTTGTCCGCCTTTATCTTCAACGGCGGATTGGCCGATGCGTATGTGTCTGGGTCAGAGTTGTTCGTTCGTTCCTTCGGAAGGAGTGACTTCTGCCCGAGCAGCAGAAAGTGATTCGAAAACAGAACCCTGGCAACATCCGATAAAAGTGCTTGCCTTGGCCGACTTTCATTCAAATGTCCTCCTTTCAAAGATTCCATTCAGTCAGCGGTTCGTGGCTTTGATTCATTCTAGCTCTTAGGTCAATGTAATCTTTAGAAGTGAAGTCAAAAACCCCACTACGCGGGAGAGGAAAGAGATCTCATGAGAAGACGGATTGCAAAAGTAACTTCCTTGGAGTGACCATGGCATCTCCAATCTCAGCCGAATCCTGCAAAGAACCCATGCTTTACCCCGTTGATTAGACCTCCTTACGTAGGGACCTTCCTTTCCCATGTGGAATCAGTCTTGGTTTGGCTCTTTCTGTAACAACCTACCGGGCAAGATAAGGAGAAGAAACGTCATCAGTCCCAGTCCCACAGCGAGTCAGCATTTGTCCAACGGATTGGCATTTTTTAACCTATGGGCATTTCCCATAACGTAACGAGATCTTTAACTTATTGTTAGATCGCTTTATAGTGACACGAAAGAAGGTAGAGTTGCCACGTATGCTTTTCTTTTGCTTTGCGACTTAGTCACTAATAACCTAAGACTGAAAGAAAGCGCGAAGTAGACTGTTCATCTGCGGCAAGATGGATTCCGAAAAACTAACTTACTTGACAGAAAGAGCAGAGCTGACAAATGGCTTGAAAGGGACTTAACTCAGACTCAGGGAAAGAGATTAGACAATGTCGCCAACCTGAGAGTTTCCAGCCGAAACAGACAATGCTCATACTTTGGCATTTTAGCTTTCTCTTTTCTTTGACCATTGGCCATGGAAGACTTTCCGCCTATTGCATGGGATAAAACCTTTAAATTGGGGGTTGACAGGGAAAGAAAGGCAAAGGCTAGTAACTTTTCATAAACCCCATCTCTTGTTTGGCAGCTACGCTAGTTTCAGACCTGATCTAAGGAACTGAGCTCCTCAACTCGACTGCTTGACGACTTCGCTGGCCCTAGCTTTCGCTTGTTTGACTGGAACTCAACAACACAGGACTTGTTTGACCGCATCGCTCGATTCCACGAGAAATACGCTGATTTCAATTCATTCCTTCGCTCGACTGCTTGATCGCATTGCTCTCAACCTGAATCGAGGGGACTCTGCAAAATCTCCATTATTTTCTATCTGCTTTTCAATCCATACCGTTTTTAGAGGAGCCTGCGTTACTTATGCAATTATGCAAAAAGAAGGAGCCTAACTTTAGATCTTGGTGGGTCAGGAGATCGAGACGCTGCGGCTGAATGCTTACGCCCGAAGTCCCTTGCCTGCTCTTCTACTCGCAAACCGAGCTCCTAATTCCCAATCCGCAAAGACAGAACCCGTGGATACCCCCGCCTTCTTCGGCTGGTATTTCTTTATGCTCCTCAACCGGCAAGGCGATACCACTGGAATAGAGGATCGCTTTCAAGTTTTCGACCCGTGTAATTAATCGAATCCACGATCGCTTTCCTCTGGTTTTCTCACCCAAACTTCAGATCCCGAGGTACGAGCCTTCGCCATTGGTTGTTACTCGGTACCCGCTCTTAGCTGTTCCTTGAGCTGAGGAGATATCTATAGTAGTTGTTCCTCTTGTCGTTATCTTCGGTATTGGTTCTAAACCTGATACTTGACAGCAAGATCCCTGAGAAACCCGGTTGGAAGTACTGATAGCCGGATATACCAATCTGGAGTTGATAGCTGGAGAAGCTAGAACCTAGAAGTATGAGCTGATAGCACCCTTTGCAAGGTCCTCAGTAAGCAAGGGAAGGGTTCTGCACCAGAGGGGCGAAGAGGCTCGACTGAAAGGAGAGGGGCGAAGAGGTTTTGTAGTTGAGTTGTTCTTCTGTAAGGTCTGCGTCCTCTTCTTCTTTCAAGGTCTCTGTTAGGCCTCAGGTTCAGGAACCAGTCTTCAGTTAGGCCTTAGGTTCTGTGTCTCTGTTAGGTCTCAGTAAACGGATATAGGTCTTGTCTTTGTACTTCTTCCTAATGAATCAATATCAAGTCATATACAGGAATCATCCTGAAAGCAAATACCTATCTCAGGCTCAAGGTATCAAGTCTCGTACCTCGGGTCTCAGGTCTCTAGTTCAGTAAACTGTCCAGTACGTAAGGTAGCTCAGTGAGGCCATGTTCTGCTCCTGCCTTAGCTATCACTTCTACAGGAACAATCCCAATGCTCCCTGTCAATAGGTTCCTGTTTCACAGGTAGTTATTATCGCAGTAGTTAGGTAGGCGCCGATAGCATCCCTTGTTACCGATATACGCCATCTACAGGGACCATCGCTTTAGAAGTTGAAGAAAGTACGTAGTTACTTCTTCTTTGGAACCTTCGGTACTAATCCTTTGTACTTGTCTTTGTTACTTCTTCTTCGGTACGGAACCTTCCTCTTGTAGTTCCTTCTTCTCTTCATTGAGACCTTTTCATTGAACTCAATTATNTTCTGAGACTTTGCTGCTTCCACAACCAGAATATCCTAGCTTAGGAGTTCTTCCTTAATGTCTTGCTACGCTCTACTAGAATTCTATTTCTCTATTTACTTGTCTTTTTTCCTCCTCGAGCTGAGGAGTTGCTGGTTGTTACTCTCCTACTGTACTAGCCTTCTTCTTCGTTGTCTTTGTACTTCTTTCTTTAAATCGTTAATACCAGGACAAGATACGGCTAATCCTTGGTATTTGAGTTGAGGAGTTAGACATCTCGTTCGTACTGAGCCATCGGTAGAAGTTGTTGCTGTCCTTGCTAGAGCTTTGCCTTGCTCCTATATCAGTAAACAGTCCATTATACGGGTACAGGGGTACATCGGTTGCTGTGCAGGCTCGTACCTCGGGTCTAGCGGATAGATGTTGCTAAGGTCCACGAGTCCTATAGGTTCTTTGAGTTCCTCAGTAAACGGTGCAGTAAGTTGTTGTTCGTTGCGATTGAGTACTTCGGTACGGGGAGTTCTGAGCTCAGCGTTGTAGTCAGTTAGGTAGGTAGCTACACCATCCGCTGAACACTTTACCAAACACCCAACCACGAGGAAGATCCTAATCTTTCTTTACTATACTTGTTACTTGTCTTTACAATATTTATATTCATTTTATACTTGTACTTGACTGAAGAATAGTTACTTCTTCCTTATTCTTACACGCAATACGATATACTTGTCTTTGTCCTTGGTTGTTACTTGTTCTTTCCTTCTTCTCTTGTTACTTGAGGAGTTGTTCAATGGGCTTCTAAATAGGAGTTCGTCCCTCCAAATACACATTGTTCAAAGGAGTTCTGTCTCTTTACTTTAGAGTAGAAGTCATGCCCCTGGCAGTTAGGTACGCATCCTCAGTAAGGTCCTCTTTTAGAGGTAAGGTAGGTCAAGGGCTACACACCCTTCTAATTGGTACACGGAACACAATCTCAATCATATAAAGTAGATATTATTGTCGTCATTTTTTGGCACGTAAATGAACTCTTTTTGCGCGTACGTTCTTAGATTGGGTCTGTGGTTCAAACACTCATAACATGAATGGAAAAGAGTTGCCCCTTGGTTCTCGGTTTCCGGACTTTTGGACATTGCACTGCAACCTCGCAAACTCATTCATACATGAAGGGAAAGTGGATCCTTCTATCCAGTATTTCAAGAGATGGTGTAAGTAAGCGGAGGTCCAGGATCAGTAGCTAAAGTAGCGATCGAACCCCAGTAGTAGAAGTCTGATCCTCTTACTAATGTCTCATACAGTACGGAAATACCAGCCCAACGGGGCATCGCTTTCTCGGTAGCTACGATCAGGAGACAAGGGCTACGTAAGTAGGCTCAGGAAACAGGTAAAGGCAACGGTTAAAGGGGTAAGGGTTGCAGTGACATCTCTCCGCGTTAGCCATAATCGAAAGGCCCAGCTCTACGAGTTAATTGAGCTAATCTTCATATGTCGTACATGTGCACGGAAAGATCGACTTACAGGTGCGAATAGGCCTCGCTTTCCTGGGCTTCGAATCCCACCCTCATTATCAAACCAGCCCTCTACAGGACGCGTACATGACTGGGAGATCCCAACGGCCAACCTTTCCCGGAAACCTACATTCATTACTCAATCCGTAGCCTCTTCTTATACGCGTATAGTGTGTGAAAGTTGATCCTGAAAGTACACACCTCGTTTTCGATCGTTCAGGACCACGAAATTGCATTGCAACCAAGAGGCAGATCTCCTGGCAGGAGAAGATAGAAAGGCTAAAACCGCACGCTAGCTATATGCGTAAAACGTGCAATTCGTACATGCAACATGCCTCTTCATAGCTCTCTTCCTTGCTTGCTGCCCTTCTGTCTGGGGCTGCCCTTTGGATCCGTAGCAAGAAGAAAGGCATCGGAGAGTGGTGCTGGCATTCGTTGGTTGGAAGCTAGCATTCCTTTTTGCATCGCATATATCGGTGAAAGTGACTCAACTCATTTTCATTCATAAGGTCCGATCAAAATCATACTTTTGGCTTCTCATATAGCTGATAAAGTTACTGAATCTGAAAGCCAAGACAATCTTTCTTTCGTACTCTCAGGCATTCAGGGTGTTTAGGGTTATAGCACTAACACTCTCGCGCTCAGGCAAGGGCATTCTAGCTCACAAGCCCTGGCGTTTACCTGTGTTGTTGGGGAAGGGAGAAATGGGGGCCCCGGAGGTAACTCTTTCTCAGTCAGGTGCGGAGTTTAGGGTTTATAACAAGGCAATTCTCCCTTACCTTATACTGGTTCAGGCAGCAGACCTTGTACTAGTTTAGCAGCGGTATTTGGTAGTTCGAGTCCTCCTACGCAGAGAAAGACCGAGCGCAGAGGTCGCGGCTTCGCCTGCCAAGGGGTTTCATTCTATTGGAACATCACTCGTTCCCCTTCTTGCCTATATTGTTCTACTAAGAATCCGCTCCAGCTCCGACTCCAGCTACTAAGGTTAAAACCTCAGAACCGCCGCTCCTATTGGTTTAGCACCAAAACAAGGGCATTGGCCCGGGAGTTAGTCCTCCCTATATTGCCCTCGGCGGTTTAACAACGGCTTTTGGTACGGGTTGTAAGAGGGGGGTATTGCCCTAGGCCCCGTATATTGCCCTGGGTAAGACAGCGTATTTAAGCTACTCGTAGAAAGATTTGTCCCTACAAACGAAGCTTAGGAAGAGGGGTTTCACAACTAGGGTGATAAACCCTGCTACGAAGCGACTGATGCGAAACTACTGTTACGAAACTGACTGATCGAAGCTACTGAAGCGAAGCCTGGGAGAGCATGTACCGTTACGAGCTAATGACCGAGCGCGCTTTTCCACTTTTTGCATCTATATGAAATGAAAAAAATGGAATTGAGAAGCTAGTCTACGAGGGAAAAGTGACTTGCCAACTTTTCCAGCTATATGAGATGCAACTTTCGCAATTTCCATTCTCGTCGTAGAGGGAAAATTGGATTGCTAACTTTCACAGATATATAAAACGACACTTTTTCAATTTCTCTCTTTCGTCTTCTCATTATATATGTCATTCTGGTTTCTCCCGTACAAACTTTTCGAAGCGAAGCAGCAAGAAAACGGATGCGCTAACGCGCAACGGCTTTCGCGCTAGTTGCTCAATCCGTTGCTTGTTCAGTCAAGAATAAGGGTGGGAAAAGAGAACAAGGCTCCCGTAAGGGACCAAGTTACACGGCTAAAAGGAAAGCGCTCGGCTCGCTCCACAAGGCGAAATGTTCCATTCCATTGACTTAAATTCTGCGCTATCATGCATGATATAAAGATATAGTAGGATCCCCCTTTCTATCTACGCTCCGCGGTTTAATTAAGAAGCCGTTAGTCCTCTTACGAATTAAGTTCTTTGCCCGGGTTCGTAACCAGTTAGAAAACTAGAATAGCCCGCCGGGGCAGAGTCCCTAATTGCGGGGTTATGAGATGAAGAGCTGTAAGGCCCCATCTTCCGAACACAAACCTTAGCTCCCAGCTAACTAGTCCTTTCGGGGTGAAGCCGCAAGCGAACGATTATAGGCCCCCCTAGGTCATTTAAAGAAGAGGAGGTTAACCCAATTCATCAGCCCCTTCGCCATCTTATACGGCGGGAGCCCAGAAATATAGCATCTTATGAGTAACTATCCAAGGGTACCAAAGAGACGCCCTTACTCCTTAATTACTCAGTCCGGGGACTTCGCTCATTGAACAGGGGGGAATAATATATATATTTGAAGTACCGGGGGTAACTAGAAATTACTAAATTTAAGAGACAGTTAGGAATTCTTCCAGTAGCAGAGCCGGAGGTTAAACACCTGTCCGCAGTTAGCTTCCTTTTTCTTAACTCTATAGAAGTAGAGGGGTTGGGGCACTCAGGAATTCTTCAGCCGATTCTCACTCTGCAGTTAGCTATTACTCCCGTTCCCCTCCTTTATCTGCCTCAGTTTGCTGACTTCGTTCAAGAAGGGGGGCAACTTTCTTTGAGAATGCGTATTTGAGTCAAAGAGCCTAAGGCATCTGTTAATTCTTGCTTTCGTCTTATAGCCGTACAAGGAGGCTGCTAATTATAGGGCGAATGGCCCGATAGCTCCTACTCCCGCTAAGCCAGACGACAGGGGCAGAGGGCACAAAGAAGAAAGAATGCGCTGTTAGGCCTTCTGGGGATGCTCTAATCCAAACTCTAAGGGACAAAAAGAAATCGAGGAATTTTTATAGTAGCAGAGCTACAGGTTAAGCCGCTTACTGCTTCCTTTCTCTTATTCAGCCCCCGCGGGCAAAGGACTCCCTCTTTCTTATGACTTTAACTCGCGGGGATGCATATTCTATTAGAGCAAACCATTATTTGTTAGGGAACTACGTATTCCCTTAGCAGCTTCCTTATCAAGGGGCGCTCAGGCGCTCAAGAAGGAGAAGAGGCTGCATTAAAGCATCTCGTAGTAACTCCCCGTAGGTTTGTTAATCCATAGTCTTTATTCTGCTCTTTCTCTCTTCTATAACCCATACAGGGAGACTCTCGCTAAGCGGGGGGCGTATCAGCAGCTACGCTCTATAATTCCAGACTTGATTAATCCCTAGCAGCAGCTTCCTTAAGGCAAAGGTCAAGTCCCCTTCGACGATCTCTACCAGAAACCGGCCCCAGAAGCAGGCCAGCCATTTGCTGAAAACGGTTAAATATCTATAGGAGCGTACTGGGGACAAGGAAAGAATCCCCTCCAGCGTTAGAAGTAGGTCGGCAGAGGCCTCTCTTTCTTAACCCGGATATAATAGGTTAGGAAGCTACCTGTTCGCGCTTTAAGCCCTACCATCCCTCGCCCATTTATTCTCTTGGGCGAAGCCTTTAATCCAAACAATTCATCAACACCGGAGCTTCCACTCGGGAGATCCACCCGGGCACGATGAGCCTTCACTCAATGCTAATGCTTCCACAGGGGAAGACCTTTTTAGGGAGGTTTACTTCTATTATAACGGGGGTAGCTGCCCAAGAGCCAAGACCCGGACTTCGCCTCCCGTCAAGCCGGATAATAATATTCAATCAAAGCGGGACTCTTTGGCAAGGGAACTAGGTATGTATTATCCTGTAGCCGAGCCCCCCAATACGGGGTCTCCCCCAAGCACAGTGTAAAGAAGTCTCACTCAAAGCAAGCCTACGCTCTGTATACATTAGCATGGTCATAGGATTTCGATCCTATTGTGTTGGCCTTCGGGATCGGAGTAATGATTAACAGGGACAACAGTCGGGGGCATTCATATTTCATAGTCAGAGGTGAAATTCTTGGATTTATGAAAGACGAACAACTGCGAAAGCATTTGCCAAGGATGTTTTCATTAATCAAGANGGGGCTCGAAGACGATCAGATACCGTCCTAGTCTCAACCATAAACGATGCCGACCAGGGATCAGCGGATGTTGCTTTTAGGACTCCGCTGGCACCTTATGAGAAAGAAAAGTTTTTGGGTTCCGTGGTCGCAAGGCTGAAACTTAAAGGAATTGACGGAAGGGCACCACCAGGAGCGGAGCCTGCGGCTTAATTTGACTCAACACGGGGAAACTTACCAGGTCCAGACATAGTAAGGATTGACAGACTGAGAGCTCTTTCTTTTTTTTTTTTTGATCGTTAAATATAAATTGATAGATCAAAAATGAAGCAACAAGGACCGTCTTACGGCATACAAAAGTAAGTGGGCAACCACAGTCTTGGCCCCTCACTCACGGTTTACTATCTAGATGGCGAACCACAAGTTGGTTGCTCAATCTAAAGTCCCAAAGTACAAGATACACAAGGCAAATGCGTGGTACGGCGCGCAGGCCAGTGTGGCCTAGCATTCTCCAAGGGCCCTTCTTTCTACGTCGGCAAGAACGTTTGGGTACAGCATGAATAAAGTTCGGTAGACATGCGTCTGTATCTTGCGGATGACATGCTCCGGCGTTTGCACTTCGTTTTCGAAAATTAACCTGTTTCGAGCGTTCCAAATGAAGTAGACTGTCGCTACTAGGGCTGCCTTCTTTAACTTGGCATGCCAAGATGCCCCTCGTGCTTCTCTTTTTGTCCATTTCAAGGCGCCATGAAGTGTCGATGGCCTATGGCGCAATCCTGCCCACTTGCGAATCTCGCTCCAAATTTGGGTGCTATATTGGCAGGCGAAGAAGAGGCTCGATGAAATTGACCTCTGCACTGTTGCACAAGTTGCAAGTTGGATCCTCGTCCCTGAATCCCAGCCGGTCTTTGGTGCGGAGCCGGTTAACTATTCCTAGCCACGTGATAAAGGAGTGTTTGGGTGTGTTGGCTGGACCCCAGACAACTCCTGTCCAGTGAACAATATTGCCCCTCGGTCGTCAAAATTCATAGCATGCGCGCGTCCCATCCCGTTGACCACCATTTCTCCATTTGCGCAATAGAGCGGCTGCAGCTTGCTCACTCCCAGCCTTTGCGATCAGGGCGTTCCGGATCTCATATAGGCTCTTGAAAAGCGGCGAGTCATTCTTTTTGATCGTCCAGTCCCAAATACTGCTGCCTTTGAGATAGACTTGGTCAATCCACTTGTACCAAAGTCTATCTTTTTTGCCTTGAATGTTCCATAGCGTGCGCGTGAGTAAAGCTTGGTTCCAGGCCCTTATGTCCCGAAGTCCCACTCCCCCCTCCAAGCGCGGCAAACATATATTATCCCAAGCGACATTTGCACTCTTCGAGCCCCAAAGAAATTGCCTACAGAGCTGGATAACTTTGGTACGAACAAGTGTCGGTAGCTGAAAGATGCTCATCCAGAAGCATTCGATCCCTTGAATAACCGAGCGAATAAGCTCCAGTCGGCCTGCATATGAAAGTGTATGAGCGTGCCACGCTTTGATTTGGGATTCAATATGCTGCACCATATCATTAAACAGGTTCACGGTTATACGATCTGCCGTGAGAGGGACTCCCAGGTACCTGAAAGGCATTGGTCCGCTTTGCAATTGCGTGTCATGAAGTATTGATGCACGCTTATCATTATCCACACCGGCCAGATAAATGTTGGACTTACGGATATTCATTTGGAGACCCGATTTTGCCTCGAAGTCTTTGAGGCAGTGCATAAGAATTTCAACTCAATTACATCGAACCTCTGGACAGAAGCATTAAATCATCGGCGAATGCAAGGTGGGTGATTTTGGGGCAATCACACATCGAGTGATAATTAAACTGTGAACCCTCTCTAGTGTTGTACGCGATCAATCTCGAGAGATATTCTATGCAAATCACGAAAAGGTACGGTGATAGGGGGTCACCTTGCCGAAGTCCACGTGCTCCTTTAAAATGCCCCTTTAGTCTCCCGTTGACTGAGATTGAATACGAAGGAGTTGTGACACACTCCATAATCAATTTCTGGAAGGTCCTAGGGAAGCCAAGGCCTGCAAGCATTTGTTCCAAAAAGGCCCAAGAGACCGTATCGAAAGCTTTACGCAAGTCAATCTTGATTGTGCACCTGGGGGATACTCGTTTCCGTGCATATTGCCGGAGGAGTTGCTGCATAATGTGAATATTGTCTGACATATTTCTTCCCTTCACGAATGCTGCCTGCGCCTTGTCAATGATTTGGTCAAGGACTTCACTGATTCTCCCAGCAAGTAGCTTGGAACAAATCTTGTACAATGTGTTACAACAAGCGATGGGCCTGTAATCTGTTACCGATGATGTGTGAGTAGACTTGGGCACCAAAGTGAGTGCAGTGTGATTCCACTGTTTCAGTAGCGAGCCGGATCGAAAAAATTCTTGTATTGCCGCAGTCACATCCACTCCAACAATGTCCCAACTTTTCAGGAAAAAGGTGGATGTATAACCATCAGGCCCCGGAGATTTGTCTCCTGCTATGTCCTTGAGCGTAGCTCTGATATCATCTTCGCTCACTGGTGCCATAAGCAAATTGCAGTCGGCATCTGATAGGCAAGCTCCGGAAGAGATGATACGATAGTCAATGTCCTCGGTTTCAGCCCCAGTCCCTAGCAGCTGCTTGTAGTAGCCCACGAACTCATTGCCAACTTCATCGAGTGAGGTGGTAGGTGTCCCATCTTCACGAGTGATTGAGGGAATAAAGTTGCGTTTAGCCCTCTTCTTGACCATGGCATGGTCAAATCGTGTGCATTTGTCACTCTTAATCTGAAAATGACACTTCGCCTTTTGCTGGTAGAACAGTTTTTCAGATTTGGCCAAGTTAATAGCTTGGAGCCTGAGATTTGGCATCCTGGACTTGATTTCATTGTCATCTGGGTGGTCATGTAGAATCTGTTGGGCACTCTTGAGGGCAGTTTTAGCAGCCTTTGCCCTGGTAGAGATGTGAGAGAATGACTCCTCATTGAGCTCCTTAAGTTTACTCTTTAAAGTTTTCAATTTTGTGCTCAGCCGGAATTGCATTGTCCCTGTGATGCGTTGCCTCCAGATATCTTCAACATATGGGAGAAAATTTTCGTGATGAACCCACATATTGAAAAATCTCCAAGGAGTTCCTGCTGTGCTCCTTGCCTCAAAGATAGAGACAATACACGGGGAATGGTCTGATATTCCCGAAGGTAGGAAGTTTGCGTGAGCAAAAAGGTTGGCCTGTTCCCAAGCATTGTCCACCATTGCTCTGTCAAGTTTGGACCATACCCGATTTTTGGTCCAAGTATGAAATAAACCAGTTGAGGGGATATCCACTAAGCCCAAAGAGGTACAGAGATCAGCGAGGTCATGGGTGTCCCTACAAGTGACTCTGTCTCCATGAACCCTCTCGTCCGCCTTGAGGATGGTATTGAAGTCACCAAGGAGTAGCCAAGGTAATGTGCTACTCGCATGAAATAACTTGAGAGATTCCCAGAGATGCTTGCGTTCGCCTCTTGAATGCAGTCCATATATAAGAGAAATCGTATAAATCTGCTTACTAACCTTGCAGTGAAGTGTAGCAAAAATGACCTGTGGCAAGATGCTCTGAACTGTAAGGTCAACTTTCGCAGGATTCCAAAGGATGGCAATGCGCCCGTGATCATTAACTTCAAAATTCTCACAGAAAACCCAACCTGGCAGCCGCTTGTTAACAAAGAGCGAGAGGCGCCTATTGTCGGTTTTAGTCTCCAAAAGTCCCAAAACATCTATGTTATTCTTGCGGATGAGGGTGGCAACCTCATCCTGTTTTAGGGGCGCGTTGAAGCCCCTAATATTCCATGCGGCTATAATCATTGTTTTGAGGAAGGACCAGAGCCCTTCTTCGGTTGGTTGTCCTTGGCCGTATCTTTCCTCGTGAAGAGTTTGTCTTTCAGTTTTGCAGATGCTCCTGCTCTTATTGCCATCTGCTGCATGGGATTGCCTTGCTTGGCTGGCTTGTTGTTCTTGCCAACCACCTGGAACGGTTCTTCATTTGGCTCAATTTGAGAATAGTCAGAGATTTCTTGGACACCGTCATTAGCTGGACGCGTGTTTGATGATGATGGGTCTGGGTTGTTGTTTGCATCCAAATCCTTAGGCACTGACTTGGAAGCCTCCAATTCAATCATCTGCTCATTTGGCTCTTGTCTCTTGTCTTCCGCATTGGCCTTCTTGCTGGAGGCCTTTGTAGATGGCTTGGTGTGCTTGGGTGCATTTCCTGGTTGGTCGCCACCTTTGGTTTTGTCACCTTCAGTTGCTGCTAGATTGTTGCCTTGCACGGGTTTTTTACCCTCGGCTTTCTTTGCTACGTGTCCCTTGTATCTATCGCATTTTGAAAGTGGGTGCCCTATGTGTTTACAGTGACTGCAGTAAGGTGGCACATATTCATATTCCACTTTCTGATCGAATTTGTTACCATCTCTGGTGGTGATTGGGATGTTGTATACCCTATCTTTCGATAGATCCATCTCCACCAGGACACGAGCATAATTGCAACGCTCCTGTGTTGCTGTGATTTTGTCGGTTGCTTTTGGTTCGCCCACGTAAGATGCGATTTTCCCTAGGGCCTTGGAATTAAAGCATTCTGCCGGTAGAAAGGGTAAATTGATCCATACCGGAACTTTTTTAGCATCATCTTCCCCGAACTGGAACCACCTGGGAAGCTCCTTGAGTATTAATCCCCGCCCGTAAATTTGATACGGACCTTCAGCTAGCACCTTGGCCCTATCTTCGGCGGTCTNAATGACATATTTTTCGCGCTCCATCGTGTTTTGAAGCAAAATTGTACACATTTAAAATAGCAATGGAAAATAGTAGTAAATAGAGTCATCCAATAGCCAGTCCTATGGTAAGCAAGCTCAGGGATGACTGAGAGTCACGGGATTTTGAAAGCGCCTGGATGCTTACCGAAAGAGGGGAATTGCACGCAGCTCAGATTTTTCCAACGGATAGGCTACCCAAGGGGAGGGATGTTTTGCTGGTATTGACCCAGATTTGGATGCTCAAGTAGAGTTTGGAGCGAGGATGGGATTACTGGAACCTTCCATTCAAGCCTCCCCATTAGAGAAATGAAAAGAAGGAAAAAGAGAGAAAGAGAGAAAGAGCTCTTCTAATTCGTCGATACGAGAAGAAAATTGTTGTGGCGAGCTTCTTTACCGAAGCTCTTCGTTCCACTTTCAGACGAGTTAAGGGAATCTCCGAAAGGGGGTTCTCGTCGAGCTCCTGTTAGCGTGATCATAGCATTCCTTTCCTTAGCTGCTGCCGTTCGTGAGGGCTGTGGTGAAAAGACAATTATCCCGCTTGCAAACATATCTGGGCGGGATTAAATATATGCGTAAAAGGGGTTGTCGGCTCATTGTCTTCTTTCTTTTAACCATGAGAAAAAGATGTCACCTTTCTTTCTTTCGTTGGGAAGCTAAAAGGTATTGCTTTCAAGCCTTTTAAGTCAAGTGTCTCAATGAAGGGTGCCCCTCCGGGAGACTGAAAAAGACGAATTATTCGAACAGAAAAGACGGCTAGAACGCCAGGTATGGAAAGAGGAAGATGTTGGGTAAAGCGTGATTGAATGATCTTTTTTAGCATCATCTTCCCCGAACTGGAACCACCTGGGAAGCTCCTTGAGTATTAATCCCCGCCCGTAAATTTGATACGGACCTTCAGCTAGCACCTTGGCCCTATCTTCGGCGGTCTTGAATTTGAAAGCCAAGCCGGAAGAGCAAGTCGTGGCTTACCTTTACTTTACTTCTGCGGAGAAGAATAGAACAAGGAAAGGAAGAGAAGAGTATTAGCCAGGCTAAATGGCATTCATCAAAGTTTGGCTAGGAATGAGCTCATCTGTAACCATTTCTCTATCACATTCCATATCCCACTTCAAACTTTTTTTTTCTTCGGGTAGTCTCGTCTATAAAGGCATTCCAGCTTCAGAGGCAGGTGAGCCGAGAAAAATATCTACCAAAAGAATGAAGGATCCCCCAGGCTCATCGAAATCCAATAGCAAACCGCCATACAGACGGACTTTTAGTTGGCTCGTCCTGCCTGATGTGAACCTAAAGGTTGTTCGGTGCCTCGCCCTTGTCTCCTTCGCTGTAGACTGCAAATGATGGGAATTCTATCGATAAAGAAGAGGCATAGGCATCGCCTCTCGATCCAATCCGTCTTCTTCTGGGGATGTGCTCCTTTCTAATTCTAATTACAGGGCCTTGAGTGTAGAAGATCTCACTATAGCGAAGACTAAGTGCCTTCAATAAGCATAGGATATCCGGGAACTTTTAGCTATTGCAATTCTTTTCATGATAGCAGGTCACATGTCATAGGACTTTTCATCCTTCTGGTGATTTCTCATCGACGAAATGAAGAGGCATTGATGGAGAAGCTGTTAGAAACTGTCCGCCTATTTGCGTCGTCCAGAACCTGAATACGACCACGGATGACACGCCAAAGCAAGAGGGATCACCTAGGCTGAATAAAGGAATCCAAAAAATCTAAGTGAATAACATATTTGTCGCGCACCATCGTGTTTTGAAGCAAAATCCTACACATATAAAATAGCCATGGAAAATAGTAGTAAATAGAG